TATAGAATATAATATGATATATATATAATATGATATATAGAATATATTATGATATATATATAATATGATATATATATATATTAGATAATATTATATATAATATATAATATAGGATTCTGACAATTTAAAATCCACCTGCATGTTTCTAGCGCAGTCGGAAGAGTTCATTCCGCTTTGTTGGCGCCTGGGAGGCGATTGCAACAGGCATCGCGCAGATGACCACGGCTGTGATCGCATCTGTGGACCATGGGACTGCAGCAGCTGCATGGCTTCAGTTTCTGTTGGAAAGGTAGGTAGTTTCTGTTGGTAAGTATATATAGATCCATCCAATATCATCCAATATCCAATACTGCCAATACTATCCAAGCTCCTGCCCATATCAAATCTGAAACACAGGGAGTTAGCTTGCCATCAAACTATGCACAGATGTAAATGATGTAAGCTTTGGCAGTTCGGCATTGCAGAATATTGCAGAAGGGATTCTGCCAACGTGTCCATTCGCTGAGGTTATCAAACGTGTGATCATGGAACGGGACACCTACAACATGCTGAAGCCTGAGTCTCCAAAAATAGCTGAGCAGTGAGGCTTTACTGGATGTAGGATCTCTAACGGGCGTCTGCCCGTGAACATTCAGGCGGTGGGGTTATGGTCCCCGTTCTAGTGACAAGAAAAAGCTCATCCTTGCTGGCAAGCTGACGGAAAAGGCCTGGAATGGGCATGGTTGCTGATGAGTTTTCTCGACATGACAGCACCTGAGGCAGCACGACAGATGCAGAACCCCCCATGTATCCGCTTTGACATGCTTTGACACACACACACATGCACATATGCACACAATATTATATAAGCATTATATAAGCGAACACACACACACACAGTGACACAAGGAAAGTTTGACTTCGTTCTAGGCGGTTGAGACGAATGAAATTGGCGCTGTGGAGTTCTACTGTAGGGATCAAGTATTAATTATTGAGGATAGAAAGAGATATGCAACAACTCTTTGATGCTGCCAGTGGATTGTCAAAAAAGCCCTCAGGGACAGAACACACCAAAGTGTCATGGCGATGTTGCCATGTCAATGTTGATTCCGAGCGTTTTCCCGTGTTGTTTTTTGGTGCACAGTGCTCAGCACATCTCTGTGACAGGGCAAACCCAACGAGAACACGCCAAAAGCCTGGCTGCTGGGCCAAGGGAGGTGGAGCTATCTTCCAAAGCTCACCTGTGAGGAAGCACAGGCCGAGATGGATGAAGCTTTAAAGGCGATCCGGAGATGGGGATGGGCCCGAAGTCGGGGGATTTGAGGCAGAAAAGATGGTGATTTAATGTGGTTTCACCACGAAAAAAGGGGGTGGATACCCCCAAATTAATCCAAATTATGGAAAGTTGATGATGGACCATGGGAAGTACCATGGGGTTCCCAATCTTGAGGCAGCCGCGGCAGCCCCACATGTTCACCGCACAATAGGCAGTTGCCAAGACAAAGAAAAAGAAGGTGATTGAAGAGGCAAGGGCACAATGTGGATTTTGGTAGACCGATTTCGGCAGTCTTTGAAGATGTTTGAAGCCATTATCATCAGCAAAAAATCACCCAAGTCTATCAGAGGAGGCTCAACAGCTTTGGCACCTGCCATGGTAGGTGGAGGAGGCTGAAGAGGCTTAACCCGACACGACAGATGATGACAGCTAGGGCAGTGGAGAATGGACCATGATGATATCATGATGCAAATTGAGACAATGGGTGATAGGATGTCATAGGTGTCCGAGATTGTCAGAGTTTCGTTCATTTGAGTCTCAGTTGCTCTGTTCATGTTCACTTGATTTGCAGTAAAAGCAATCGGTCCAGTGTATTTGATGTATTTTGATGTACGGTGTCAGCATTGCGATTTTGAAATCAAACGAATCAATCAACCCTGAAAGGTGCAGCCTGTCAAGAAGAAGAAGCGGAAGGTGGGTGCCGATCATGATGATCTCGGAGGTGGTGCCAAATTTCATCCCAAGGATGATTTGTTTGACTATTGACATCTGGGTATGGATCAATACCTATTAATACCATTTTTAGGGGGATGAACATCCATTTACCAGCTATTTTGATGTTCACTAGGTGCCAGGGTTTTGACCCATCCCCATTTGTTGACTATGATACAGAACAAATCGGCATTGCCATTCGGCATCTTGGGATCCAGATCCATGGCGCTTACTCCCTATTTTTCGTGTTTCATGCCCTTTCAGAAGAGCAAGTTCTGCAAAGTGTCGCCTGATCGGATAATACACCAACTACATCTACTTAAATTAATTGCGAATAATTATAAACATATTTTTGCCGATATGATATAGACGATGGTTACGAGGTAATGATTGTAGTGAATACCCTCAATTCCCATTTTGAAACACCTTTTTTGAAGCACATTTCTTGGCATTGTAAGCCCAACTGATTCCAATATTCTTTGTTGCCAGGAGTAGATGAGAAAACCGCTTATTCCGCAGTGAAAGTGATGTCTCTGGAGAAAGAAATCCGAAACTATTGATATAGTCTTGGATCTGCGCATGAAATCAAGTTACAACAATTTATCATTTGCTTGGCAAAGAAACGCACAGATATAGCTGCTGATAAAAGCAACGGAGATAGATTAATGATTAATTAGATAGATATCATAGCACCTCACCGACCATAGCTATGCTTATTCGCTGATTCGAATTTCTTTTCCCCGCTGATGCTACCACATGGAAGCAAGCAGGCTTCCGCGATTCTCACCCCATCTGTTGTAAATAGAGAGCTGGCTGAGTCCATTTGGCATGAGGTGGATTTGTAGTCTCCATTCTCCATAATTTGTCCATTGGATCTATAATATTCTAGAGTGATTTATATAATTCCAAAAACTTAAACTTTTCAAGATCTTTGACATGACCTGATATATCCATATATATCCTGATATTAATTTGGGGGTTCAACCAACATCAAATTGACACGGAGACTTGCGCTGTTGGGCCAGCGCTGCGGCGCTGTGGCCCGCGCCTCGCCACAGGGCTAGAGTCGGACGGGCAGCCGCTGATCGTCCTCGAATGCGGTCAACTGCATGACCCCAACAATATACCTCCAGTTGGGGATGGTTTATACCACGTACATTTCCGGTAAAATGTGGGGATGGTTCATGACTGAATCACGAAATTCAGGTTTGTGGATGATCATATATTAATTCCAGGTTACCACTATCAGGTCACTATCATATATTGATCCAGAATCACTGGTTTATACCACTTTCTACACACCAGGCCGTCACTAGGCTGTCCAAAACCTGTAGCTCCTTTGTGAGAGCCCAGCGTCGAAAACGGGAGGGCCGATGGTTGAAGGTGATTATGCGTGGAAATCCGTTGATATTTGTGTGTAATAATATAGTACATAATATATATATACATACGTTTATATGTATATGTTGTATAAGATGTATCAGATCTATTTAGTGTTTTCATTCTTATGATTATGATGGCCATGGTCAAAATTTTGGTCGATTGCGTAAATTGCCCACATTGGGGGATGATCATCAATCCGTTAATAGGAGTTTATATCCCCAAGATAGATGTTCATGATGGGATGCATGACCAGACCCCATATACATCCATATACTTTGCTTTGACTGTTGCACATGTGTATATATATATACATATTGTATATATATATACATATATTGTATATATATATACATATATTGTATATATATATGCATATATTGTATTTGTATATATATACATATTGTGTATATATTATACATATTGTATACATATACATATATATATTGTATTATGTATATACATACATACGAGTATATATATATATATGATATATGTATATATATATATATGTGTGTGACATGCATACATATGACATACATGTTATAATGTATGACCGACATGTATATATATATATATTATATTATGTAAATGACCTGTGTCAAATATATGTATATATATACATATATATACATGATAATCTTATATATACCATGCGTTTATTAAGATATGGTCATCTATATATATATATATTATGATACATAATGATACATCACTGTATTTTTTGATATACCATGATACACTATGATGCATCATGGCAACCTGCGACTATGACGGTTGCTATCATTATTGTGTGTCCATATGGACAACTGATTGTGATATTGTGATCTTATTTGTTCAGTCAGGGTTTGGAGCTCCCAAAGGGGCACGGAAGGTGCTGGAGAGTAGTCTGCCGGCTTTTGATGTCAAGCTGGGTAGGCGATGTGCTTCTCAAAAAGCGGCAGTGGCTGCATCTATCCTGCAGACATCATACATTCACAAACCCATAAAGACATATATAAACAGAGTGCATTCATTCACGTCTGACACATGTCCCTTTCCTGCTTGTCTAGATAGCTGTGACAAGTTGATGTTTGACAGGAATGTGTTGGTAATCCCCAAGGCCAAGGCCACGTGTTGTCACAGAGACAGCCCGAGACCTCCAGTCACTCTCCCTGCTGGCAGCTTTCCGGCCTGGAGCCTGGTACTTTGGGGACCCAAATCGGTCCTTGAAAAAGGTCGATTTGTGGATGGCAAAGATATCCTGGTTGAGATACCCTCTGGTAAATAAACATAGACCCTGAAAATCACCAATTTTTAATGGAAACTAGTCTTCCAACCCCTATCTGCCAGGGTCGATGTTAATTTACCAGAGGGTATCCTTCATTCATTATCAGGTGACCAGACAGCTGATGAGTCTTTGTGCAACTGCATGGAGGGCCTTCAAACTGCATTTTTTATAGGCTGCACTCAGTACTGTGAGACTGTATGGATTGGATTTGAGTCCGGTTTTCATACGCTTTCATATGTTTTCATGTTCAATCATGTTCAAATATGTTTCATACCAACCAAGCCCATTCCCAATCCCAAACCATTTTTTGGCTTCAAATCTGCAGCCACGTGGAGCTCAGACCCAACGGGCCGTGCAGGCTATCCCTTTGAATCAGATGTCCGGCTCTCCGGGCGACGGTGGCGACCTGGGTGACCCAGATGGGGGACATTTGGGGAAGGCCACCTTCGGCGCCAGAGAAGTGACATGGGAGAGTCACGGCATTCAAAGTGGTGTAGACATTGACATCGCCATCATGCTGAGAGATGAGACTCGCAAAGTGCAAAAATCGATGTATGAACTCTTTGCCAAACAATCCGATGTTCTGGCAGAGCTTCAGAAACAAATATCGTCCATAGCACATCAGCAGGTCACAGCAGCTTGGCAGAAATGTATGCAAGGCAGTGAACAAAAACTGGAAAAAACACATATCAAAACCCATGCTTCTTTAATGGAGCTTGTATGTATTGTACCAATGGAGTTGGGAGTCGGGAGAGTCAACAGCAGAGGAAGCCAAGTCCCCTGTGTTCTGTCCTGGAAATTCAAAGAAATTAATCAATCGATGGAGATTGAAAGAACTTGATGGAGCTGTTGACACAATTGCTACTAAGAGCTACCACCAGATAGTGCCCGGCCCGCGCCGGAGCGGAAGTTTCGAGCATTTAAAATGGCAATAAGAAAATCGATGGCCTATAGATGCCTATAGGAACGTTTTGAGATGCAGAAGCAATGAGCTGCTGAAGTTGTGAGGTGCATGAACAAAAAAGCAAACGCAAATGGTGGTTGAGATGCCAGTGAAAGACATGGAAGAATCCGTGCACAACTGACTGAACGAACCAATGACCCAGTGAAGCAATGAATCAACAAATCAATGAATCAACGGTACAGTGAACCAAGGAATCATGAATCAGTGAATGAGTGAGTTGGTGAGTCGATGAAAGAATGAATCAAGGAATCAGTGAATCAATGAACCGCTGAATAAATGAAACGATGACTCAGTGAACCAATGAATCAAGTAGTGAGTGAGTTAGTGAGTCCATGAATCAATGAACGATTGAAGCAATGAACCGATGATTCAGTGAGTCCATGAATCAATGAACGATTGAAGCAATGAACCGATGATTCAGTGAGTCCATGAATCAATGAACGATTGAAGCAATGAACCGATGATTCAGTGAGACAATGAACCAATGAATGAGTGAGTTAGTGAGACCATGAATCAATGAGTCCGTGATTCAGTGTATCAATGAACCAATGATTCAGTGAATCACTGAATCAGTGACTCAATGTTTCAGTGAATCAATGAATCATGAACCAATGAATGAGCAGCTGTTGCAATGCGTTGTGAGTTTAACAACCTCCAGCCTCCAGCTGCAATCCCGCAAAGCAGGAGAATCGCAGCATCACTAGCGCTGTCCTGCGCGCAGCCGTATCAATGCGTTTTGTCACAGCCAGTTGCAAACCCGCAGGATCGTCACGCCAAGTTGACCATCATCGTTCGCGCAGCGTCGCCAGTGCGAACCCAACCACACAAATCTGGGGCTGCTCCGAACGCCTAAGTTTTCCACGATGTTTCTCTGAAATCGAGCAATTGCACATTTTTCCAACCTCATCTTCCAAAAGTGCTCGGAACGTTACAGTTTTTTTTTTACCATTTTTGAGTACAAATCAAGCTTATTTCTCGACGATGTTTCTCTGAAATCGAGCAATTGCACATTTTTCCAACCTCATCTTCCAAAAGTGCTCGGAACGTTACAGTTTTTTTTTTACCATTTTTGAGTACAAATCAAGCTTATTTCTCGAATCGAGGTGAAACCGCGGAAACACAGACCCAAAAAATCGGCGACCCCAGGAGCCTCGAGCCTTCGCGCCCGAAAATATGTTCACCCGTGGGTTCACAACTATACTTGATGATGGGGTTGACACAATGATGTGATTGACATGATGGAATGCTAGCTGCTAATCAGCTAATCATAACCATCGTCCGTAATTAACTCGGAAGTTTTCAAACTAAACTTGCTTTTATCATTGCTACTGCTTATGGATGCTTGTGGCGCGTTGATCCAGAATGATCTCGTCTCTGAGGCCGCACATCTCTCAACGCAGATCCTGCCACCCGATCCGTCGAGTGCCATCGACCTGCTTGATCAGTCTCCTGATGGAACGAGATCTCAGATATCTGCGGACGCTTCAAGAGGCTTGAAATCACAGGATAGTTTGACGGTTCTTGGCCAAGGCAATGAGGAGGAAGACACATTGGAGATCAAGAGTCCAGGCGTGGCAATGCCAGCTCTCAAACCTCGCCTTAATTCGTGCGCCTCCGAAGCCCAGAAGCATCACAGTCAGAATTTCATCTTTGGAGCAGCTTTCAAAGTTGCCCGCTCGCACATTTTTTCGACTTTCATCATGCTGGTCATTGCCTTCAATCTACTTATGATGGGCATTGAAGTAGATGCAACCAGTGCGCTGAAACCGGGTGAGCCCACTCCGGCGTTCTTTTTGGTCTGCAACATCGCCATTGTGGTCATTTTCATCTTCGAGCTGACCATCAAGTTTTTGGCCTACGGGCCGAGAGGGGTCTTGCTGGGCCCAGAAAAATGGTGGAATCTCTTCGATATCATCATAG